TCACGGATGCTCCCACTACTGCTGCTCCAGTCACGGATGCTCCCACTACTGCTGCTCCAGTCACGGATGCTCCCACTACTGCTGCTCCAGTCACGGATGCTCCCACTACTGCTGCTCCAGTCACGGATGCTCCCACTACTGCTGCTCCAGTCACGGATGCTCCCACGACTGCTGCTCCAGTCACGGGTGCTCCCACGACTGCTGCTCCAGTCACCGATGGTCCCACTACTGCTGCTCCAGTCACGGATGCTCCCACGACTGCTGCTCCAGTCACGGATGGTCCCACGACTGCTGCTCCAGTCACGGATGGCCCCACGACTGCTGCTCCCGTAACCGAAGGTCCCACGACTGCTGCTCCAATCAACACCGAAGCTCCCACTAGAGCTCCCACCAACGCTCCCGTCACCGAAGAGTCCCCGAACCCACCAGAGGAGGATCTCGGCAGGGTCTTGCCCAAGGCACACAGGGGAAACTGGCGCCTGTTCAAGCGCTTCTTCTAGGGTTGTGATCTACCAGTCCAGCGATTCCTAAACTTATTTATTGTGGCCAAGGGAAAGCTGAAAGCAGACACACACAGATGAGGCTTCAACTCAATAAAGCAATTGCTAAAATGTAGAATACTTTTGAGTTCACTTCGAAATTGTGGGGTAATCATTAGTAGCTCGTCAATCGAAGTAGATAAGGGTCACTCGGACATATGTAGGACTACTGGCTACCAGTACACATGGGAGATCGGATTAGACGGGCTGTAAGCTTCGGCATAACACTTTCAATCAATGGGTAACGCCAGCAGAGAGATAAAGAAACACCTGAAAATGTCAAATGCTGATACAAATATTGTGGAAGAATGAGGTACAGTCCAACCTGGAGCGGGAGAACACAGGCAACATTGTTATTTTCCTGTAATTTTATAAAGTAATTCTGCTTGAATGTTGAGCACTTTTCAAGTTGCCACTTAAGCAAGTTGGACTGTAGATAAATCAGCTGGCCATCGGAGGGGACAATAAAAATAATGACGGTGTTACCAGGAACTGATCAATTGGACACTTCCCTGCGATAAAAGATACTCGATTGAGTGCGACGTTCGGAGAGCAGCGCCGTCGTGGTTCAGCGACATTCGAGATCTGCGACCAAATGAATTCAGTACGGAAGCACGAGCGACTGGGCGAGACGATATGTCGCCATCTGCGGCTGGCTCTGTTTGTGTTGGGCCTTTGGGCGGTGCGGACGCAGGTCGTGGGCCTCGGCTGGTTAACCCCCATACCAGATGGCACCATCGATGAGTGCCACAACGAGTATCTGCAGGCCTGTGCCAGTGCCTCGCTGGCCTTCTCCGATGCCTTTGATCTGTGCGAGCAGCAGGCCAACGAGACTGAGCTGGAGCTCTCCATCGATGTGGCGGTGGAGCGACTACAAATCGAGCTGGGTGCCAGCGACGTGTGCGGCAATCTGCACATCTGTGACACCTTGGAGAATGATCTGGAGTACTTCAAGTGCATCAGCGATAATGTAAGTTCGATGCCTCTAACCCAGATCCATCAGTCCTCAGTCTCTTTCGTATATTCATCACCTCAGGGCAGTCGCAATTTGGAAATTCTCGCTGAAATCACATACAACTCCACCAGTGCACAGACGCGACTGCGGCAGGACTACGATGCGGTGTATCGCACTTATCTACTCTGCACCCTGGACGCCCAAAAGAGCTACATGGAAGATCTGCGTCAGGCCTACAGAGAACTCAGTCACTGCCGAATTGAAGCGAACGATTATGTAGATTAAAGAGCAGAACGATCTGCGCGGTAGCCCAAGCTTTAATGTTCCTCATTTTGCTGCAGGCATTGGTCGAGGTCTCGAAAGACTCGGTCCGTGCCCTCCACATAGGTGTGCTCGGTGCGGTTTGTGCAGAGATAGTGCTCCACCTCAATGGTGCCCAGCTGCTGGCTCATTCTGAGTGCATCCTCGGAGGCGTTGTACGAAATGGTGTACACGGTGGCCAACTGCCGCTTGGACTGTGGATAGTTGGTGATAGTAAAGGTTGTTCCTTGCTTACTGTCCACTCACCATTTTGGCAAAGCAATTGAAAAAGGCCAAGGAATCGGCAATGCCCAGACAGTCGTCGATAAATGCACTAATGCCCAAGGCCGCTTCCCGTATTTGATTCTGCGCCGCGGCAACATTCGTGACCACCGACTGGCGCCCAGTGGTGGCTATCCACAGGCATCTGCTGTAACTCTTCGACCAGGTGGCCCCCTCGTTCTCCAACTGCGGCAAGTAGCGGGCAAAACATTGTTTGGTTGTGGATTCATTCGTTTCCAGATAGGAGAGCAACGTTTCCACCGTCCTTGGCTGTTCATCCACATGGGACTGTCGCAAAAAAGAAATTCCTCTGGTTAGTTGACAAACGCACAGTGGCAAGGACACGTCTTTAGCCTACCCCCAGGCACATCCCTGGGATCAGCAGCAGCAGCGTGATAATATTAGCAGCAATTTCCATGTCTCTCTGCCAACGACCGACTGACAAAAAAGTAGCCAAAATTTCCACGTAAAGTCACCGCAAAAGTTGGCCGTGTAATCTGACATTGATGTATGGTTTGTTTATATGCTCGCTTATCGCTGCGGGGACAGTCCGCAAATCACGATTCAGTGGCTCTAAAACTGTGCAAGCGATTGATGAAAGTGTAGCATACTTTTGTGGGGCGAGCACGAAACATTTGATGCCCTTCGAAGGGAGTATTATGCGACTGGGGAGAGGTTTGTAATGCGCAGAATAAGTAGAAGCGAAGAGAAGACTATAAATGGTTCAAAGGCTAATGCAACAGGGAAAGTTCTTTGATAGTTTGAAACTCTTGTTACCTGTAAGCCAGAACATACATTGTAGACGACTCTGCAAAGCCCCAAAGCTGCCATAAACCATTGAACAATTAAAAGGTGATCGACATTTTGCTGTAAGCGCTATCTATCAGTCGGCGGTTATCAGTCGTTAACGCTTAACCGATTTGACCCTGACGACACGTGAATGGCATCCACCAGTTATCGTTCGATTGAAATGCAATTTCACATGCAAAGCAATTTGGGACTCTGGGGTATTACGCATACAACTTAATTCCTTCCTAATTGATCGCCAGACTAATTGCAGGGACAGAGCAGAAGTACAATTCACAAAAACTTCATCGAGCCAAACGGATCAATCATTCGCCTCTGGCCGCGACTCTGCCACCAGGTATATAAAGCTTAGGAGCTTCCTGGCCGACAGCGACAGTTAAATGAGAACCACCCAACCAACATGAAGCTTCTCTGCAGTGTGCTAATCCTCGCCAGCGTGCTGGCCGCTCAAGTAATTGACCCAAAATCAGCTCCGAGGGCAGTAATGAGTTTCCAATCGATTCGCAGGCCATGCCGAGCGCCGTGCAGACGCAACTGCAGAGCGCCCTGGACCAGTACCTCGTGCACGCACGGGACTTTGATGCCACCATCTCAGCGGATGAGACCACGCAGTGCTTCAACCTGTATCTGCCGATGCTGAACGAGGTGGCCGCCACCTTCTCCAGCTCGTACAGCTCCTGTGTGAAAACAGCCAACGCCGAGGCTGCCAATCTGACCGCTGAGGCTGCCAAGCAGCAGACAATCTACAAGCAGGAGGTCACCTCCCTCTGCAGCGCCTTCACCAGCTGCGACAGCGACAATGACACCGGCACCTTCTTCAGCTGCTACGCCACAGCGGTGAGTACTGAGCACGAGTTTCCCTCGTCCAACTACTGACTCCAAGCTGATTCCATGCACCCGCAGGCCAACAGCGATGTCGCCGTCATCTATGACATTGCCACCAACGCCGCCACCTCGGCCAGCAGCCTCGCTGAGGGCTTAAATGCCATCCAGGACACGGAGTACCAGTGCACCAACACCACCGAGAGCAACTATGTCCGCGACACGGCCGCCACATACGATCTGCTCGACAGTTGCCTCAGGTACGGCTTGCCGACGGTGTCCACTGCCGCGCCCGTCCCCTCTACAAACAGCCCCGTGGCTAGCTCGAGCGGGGCTCCTACCACTGTTGTCAGCACTGTGGCTCCAACATCAAACGTTCCGGCCAGCAGCAGCGCCGCCGCACCAGTGAGCACCGCTGCCCCCGGCACCCCAGCCGCTGTGAAGACTCCCGCTGCCGCGGCCTAGGTCTCTCAGCACAAATAAATGAGCATTCAAAAAGTAACAAAATTATCATTAAACCATAATACAGGGTGTGTCTTCAAGTCTTGAGAATTTGAAGGATCGAAAGAGTCAAGTTTCAGACTTGAATCTTACATTGTCGGTCTGCTGTCGGGCTCGGAATCTTCCTGTGCAGAAAGAGAATTAGCAGGTGAAGGATGTTCTCTGGATGTACTCGCTGTGTCCACCCCACTGTGTGGTGAGCGTAAAAAGCGCGTAAATATTCAATTTGTAAGCCGTCTTATCGGGCAACTAAGAGCTGGCTGCCCGCTCATCGGCAATGCTCGTACATTCAATTACGAGCAACTGGCAGTGCCCATGTATCTGTGAATGTGTCTCAGTGTCTGTGTGCAGCCGTTAACGTGAGAACGCTTTAAAGTGTGCCCACACACACTAGATTGTAGTCAGTCGAAGTTTATTCTCGAACCATTAAGCATGAAGGGCCAACACCAGCAACGTAGTTGCACCACCGCTCAGCCTGGGTCGCTGCCAGTTGTCGTCGTCGTGGTTGCCGTGGCCATTGCCGGGCTGTGCGTGCTGTCAGGACTGAATGTAATGAAAATAGAGTAGAACAACAAAAACAAACAGACAAACAGACAGACACACAGACAGACTAACAAACAGACCTGCACCCCTCCTCTGACAATGGGAAACTACAATCCTGTAAACGTTTATCCTTTATCAGGCAGCGCCTCTCGACGTGCAATGCAATTGTGGAAACGGCGGAACGCAGCACTCGGCCGACGGCCTTCAGACCCAGACCCAGACCCAGACCGGTCCAGGCTGCCAGACGCAAACCTCCGAGAATGGCACACAGAGCCAGAGCCAGAGTGGCACTGGTAGTGGCAATTCTACCCAGTCGCAGACCCAATGCTCTGGCTCCGACTGTGCACCGTTCACGCCCTTCCCGCCGCTCTTCACCATGAAGCCAATGGAGCCCCTCACGTGGAAGCCGTTGGAATGGAGGTCAATGCAGCCCATTGCCCCGCTGAATGGACAGTAGTAGCAGCAGCAGCAGACAGTTCGATGTAGTTTAAGCTCTTCAAATGATTGTCCGATTCAATAAAGGATTGGGATGGAGAGAGTTGAGATGAAGCCCCAGCGTGTGGTCCATTTTGAGGTCAAACTTTCTGACATTTCCAGTAAATCGAATTCTCTATTTCGAATGCATCCAAAAATGCCAAATAGGCACCTCTAATTTCCATTCCAGGTTGTTGTCAATGGTCAGCCACTGGCTGGAGGGTTTCGCAGAGTTCTAATTGGTTTACTCAAGTGAGTTGAAATCCCACTTCTAGTGTCCACTGTAAATCAGTGCTGACATTTGGGTGCTGCCAATAAAGCCGCCAACTAGTGACGGATTACAGATAGCAGAAGAACACCTGCTGATATGACAAATATGTACAAGTCTTTGCTGATACTATTCTATTGATTAGAACTATCTCAAAGAGTACATAAAGGAGTACGCTAACTGCTGGCAAGAATGTTCAGAAATTGTTGGGTTCTGGCGAGTCGAAGCCACAATCTATATTGATAAATGATAATTCTTGCCTTAAATAAGTTCTTTTATGATACAATCATGTCAAGTAAACAAGTTTTATCATGTAAATGATCAATTTCTTACTTAGCCCATTAAACGATCAAGAAAACTTCCCATCACTGGCATTTTGACTTCATCAACTACCAACAACTGCTTAAGTAACTTTTTGATTGAGCAGTAGAGCAGATGGATTTTATTTGTACCGAATTGCATCGCTGATTTTGCAGCAATTTCGTGAACTTTTGCTCACCACTTACCTCATGAGATTGACAGTTGGTTGGGTCCTGGAGCAGGGTTAAGGGAGGTTCTGTGGGGACCATGATGAATTCACGCCGAAATGCCGTCTGTGGTTAATGCAGTTTTTTGTTTTCTTGCCAGATAAAACTTTTGCGTATAATGTGCGCCGCCAACTTTTACAGACTGTGGCAAGCCCCATTGTGGCACCTCAGAGAGAGAGAGAGAGAGAGAGAGAGAGAAGCGGCCGTGGGCGACGCGTGTGCAAGTAATTGTGGCAAAGAGGCGCCGCAATAATCCACGGCTGCCGTGGCAATCCTTGGTAGGATATCGTCAACAGTTGATGTGGGGCTCCTCCAGGTTCCTGCCTGCAGCTGGCTCTGGCTTTTAACTCATTTTCTGATTAAAATCTTGGCCATTAAGCGTGCAAGCTCAAATCGGGCTAAACTTTTTTAATGGCACTGACAATAGTTGCTCCAGCTACAGCCACACGTAACCCCGCAATACTCCGAACCTTCAATCCCCAATCCGTGCCACAATCTGCAGTGCGGCCGCAAAAAGGACGCGCGAAAATTGGCGCCTGCAACGAACGGCGACGACGACGACGACGACGACGACGACGACGACGGTCACGACATGGCGCAGAATTCGGTGTAAAATTAAATTAAAACTGCCAGCGTGGCAGCGGGCCAGATGGGGAAGAGGCAGTGGGGAGCAGACTGCAAAAATATTTGCGAGCCTTTAAGGAGAATGCCAGATGGGCGGCTGATAGTGGGAAAAAGAGCAAAAGACGGAGGAGGAGTAGGAGCAGGAGCAGGAGCAGGAGCAGAAGACTACCATCCTGGCTAAGGAGGAGCGAGAGAACTCTCAGCGCCAGCTGTCAGCGGCTGCCAGGCCAACGATGTCAATTAGTTTTTGAAGCGATGCTGACCTCCTGGCCAAGACCAGCCACCCACCAGCCATCACCCTTGTCCATTTTCCCCACTCAAGTTGGCTTTAAGTTAATTGCACAAGATTTCACTTTGCACTTGCCGTTGTAACATCCGTTTCCGCCACCGCCTCCGTCTCTGCCTCCACCGCTGTCATTTTTAATCAAGTTAAAAGTTATTTTTAAATGGAGTGAGAGCGAAATATGCGAGTGCAGTGCAAACATCACAAAGGTACCGTATCTGCATCTGCATCTGCATCTGCATCTGTGTATCTGCAACTGCAACAGCAGCATGCAAAATATTTATCTGCTAATTATTTCGTGTGGCATTCATGACCGCCTCCGGTTGCACAGTTCCGCCATTCCAGTGCCCTTTGCATCATTAATGTTGAAGCAAACAAATAATTTGCCTGCTCTTAATGACTGTGGGGCTTATTATTTTTAACTGTTTTCGTTAGGCTTTTAAATTCAATGAAATGCTGTGCGATTCTTTTTTTTTTTTGAGAGTTAATTCAATTAATTACACACCGTGGGCTGATGTCGGAATTTCGCTTACAATATGGGAATGGGATTTGATACCTTTAATTAGATTTGGTAGAGAAAAAGAGAATAAAGCAACTTCCATTAAGCATTGCATAATTTACACTTTAACTTTTGCTCTTCTGCCTGAATTATATTCACGGGGCTGTTCCCCTTTTCTCTCTGGCTCTTACTCTCCCTTTCACCTGCCAGGCTGTCGCAGTTCATTTGTCATTTTGTTGGCTTCTTTTTTATATACATATATTTTTAACAAATTATCTGTGGCACACACACACACACCTACACACCTACACACTGTTGGAGCAGCTCACACCATTGCCGAAGCACTCACCTACGATGACGTCGTTGCTATTTTGGTTGCTTTACACCTGCAAAGCCTTTGATTGATGATACGCGCCATTGATAGGGCGGTGGCTCTAAGCAGCTCACCCACACGACTGCCTCAGCCACAACACCCGCCCCCACACACACACGGCCCCCTCTCTGCACAGCTAATTGGCGCCCAAGTAGCTGCCGTTTAAAAATATTTTGGTGTATATTTTTTTCTTTTGGGGCGAATTTTTTTAAGAATTTGGCTAATTATGCGCCCAGAGTGAGGCAAAGCGTGTGCTCGATCCGCTGCAGGCTGTTCGGGTCTCCGGAATGGTCTGGTCTCGTCTCGTCTGAGCTAATTAGAGCAGCGAACGTTAATTGCAAATTGCAGTGACTCCTCCTGCGGGGCAGGGGCAGTGGGTGGCCAGTGGGTAGAGAGTGAATCTGCGGCCATTTACAGTTACATAGACGTCGCATCAACTCCTTCAGCTGTTGCTGCCGCTGCTGCCGTTGCTGGCTTTGTCACGTTTTTGGTGGCTGCTTTCGCGTATGACTCCATTGCCACAGATGTTGCACTTGCCACACGATTTGCAGTTACGTGCAAGCAGACAGAGGGACAGAGAGCGAGATGGAAGAGTAAGCGAATCTTGTCAGAACCGAAAATCTTCTAATTTTCTACTGCAGTGATTTCGCATGCATAGAGAGAGAGAGAGAGAGAGTCTCGGGTCTCGGGTCTCGGAGTCTCTCACTGATTTATGCGCATCAATAAGTTTGCCGAGTTGCCGATACTTGTGCGAAATGTGCCGCAATGAGACGTGGATCCAGGCGGGGGCACGTTCGCCCTGCAGTGGCAGCAATAGATAGTCCTGGCATCCCAGCTGCTAAAATAATGATTTGCATTTCGATTTGGGCTCTGAATTTCGATCTGAATGTAACACAGTTTCTCTCTCCTAATGAGAATAAACCGCACCACGGGCAGCCGTCTGCTTATCGTTTCGGGTGGGAATAATTCATTTTCGCTGCTTTGTTTGTGGGCCACGTTTATGGCCAGCGCTTATCTTAATGGGTCAAAGGTTATGGCCAGCCTTGAGCTGCGAATCGGACAGTCCGACAAGCTTCCGTTGCCCACGCGAAACCACAACGGAACCCCCCAATAGTCTTGACTTTTGCATTCAAACAGCGCACTGCGGGCGGTCCAAGGAGCAGCCCTCCCAGTCCCAGTCCCAGTCCCACTCCCAGCCAGAGATTAGGCGTGTTTATAAATAGATTTATGGATCGTCGGTGGTGGAGAAGCTTTTAGCCACGGCAATAAACGAGTTCTGGAGCCACTGCAGCCAAGAAAAAGGAAATAAGAGTCCTCGCGATAGTAATTACGGGCATGTAATGGAATTGACATCGTAATGGTATCCTAGAGCTCTTGCCAAACACTCTACGACTACCGCATAACGAACATAATATAATTACTTTATTTTTGACTTTCGGCTCACTCGAGTCGTGCACTCAGAGGCCACACACACACACGCAACACATAAAGGCGGCTCGACTCCACTTAACTCGACTCGACTCGACTCAACTCATTTGCTAAATCAAGCATGCGCCACTTAAATTTTCATTAGACTGTTTTTCCCCTTATGCTCTGCCACCTGCATGTGGCCTCTGCAGCTGGCTGCTGGCTGCTGGCTCATGGCTCCTGTTTGTGCTCTTTGCTCCTCCTAAGTCGAAACAGAACCGCAGCAGTCTGCGTGCGCACTTTGTCTTAATGATGTTAAAGTGAATTTAAACTTACGTGATTTTTACGTGAGCGGCAGTAATTGGCGCTGCACTCGGGCAGGTGAAGACAATGCACTTTTGGGCTGCACTGAGAGAAAACTACAAAGTGCAGCCACAGCATGCAGCAAGCAGAAAGCCAGAGCTTCTCAGAGTGTAAGGCATGTGGGTAGGCCCTTCCCCCGCACTCCAGGGAACTCTGAGTCATATCTCTGATATGGTGTCATCATTCAGCGAGTGTCGGAGATTTCTGTTGAGCTGCTCGCTCCGCCGCTCCTGTGGCACATGTGCTCACGTATTGGCCATAAATATTAGGGCTAAAGGGCGGAGCATGGGCATGGGCATCGCATATTGGCATTGCCACAGCGAAATCAAACCATAAATTTAACACGTTTCAGCATTTGCAGGGGGCCAGTGACAAAGACACCGACACACAGGAGCGATGCGGGGTAAGGGATAGCCGAGACAGACACCGAGTGCATGGCACACACGCACACACACACATATATATATTACATTACGTATACGCAACGATGTCTGTCACGGCGTTAACTGCCAGCCCACGTCGCGGATAAAGCCACGTGCCAGCTGATGCCGCCGCTCCTGGAGAGGCATTTAATTTGCTGAAACATCCTGCGAGGCCGCCACTCCGAGACCTCCCTCCTGGCTGCTATTTAGCCAGGTTATCCAGAGGGTAACGCTGACCAAATGGAAGCTCCATTTCCCATTCAGTTAAGCCGCAGAACCAGCATCCAACATCCAACATCCAACATCCATTGGCGGCCTGTCAGTG